TTGTCTTACATTTGAAAGTGCAGAAAATGTTGTACTTCAGTGACATTAAAAAGAAATACCTAGCAGTGGCAGAATAAAATACAAGGACTGGGTGCCTTTTCTTGACAATTCTTGAAAGGTTAACATACAACATTTCATTTTTTGGGGGGTTGAAGGAGGCGCTGAGACATATTTTCAACTCTGCTGGCATTTCCAATAAATGCCACTGTTAAGCATGAGGGAATACATAGCAGACAAGCTGAGTAAGTTGCGAACAGGTTTTTTTTTTTAAACAAGAAAACTCTATAAAAAAAAATATGGAAAGAGCCTCAAGGAGAAGGCTGTGGATTGAGGCTTGTTTGAATATGACACAATGCTAAGTAAAGCAGCAGGTGCCTGCCTGGGAATCATCTTGAAATCACTGTGGTTATAAATCTCAGAATAACCAGTCCCCTTAATCATTTTTAACAAGCGACAGATCTGTCTCTGTCTGAAGAAATGCCTTCTGCACAGCACTGCTAACTGACAGGATCATAAAAAGCCTGCAGTGAGGGACCAAGTTCAGTGTAAATGCTAAGTTTTCATGCCTCTTCGGGGAAACATTTTTTACATTTGAATGTATATTGTGAAAATGTTCTGTTCATTTTCAAAAATATGTATATCCATGCAGGACTTTCTTATTTGGTCCAAGGGAATCTTGCCTGTCTGTACCAGAAATTACATGAACTTTTTTTCTGGTAGTTGAAGTTTGTTAGTTTATCAAGCTGATTTTCAGTAAACACAAGGTGGATATTGTTGTTCAATAGTACAGTCTCCATACTATGTATAATAATATTACATTTCCTTATAAAGAAAGTAATGAATAATACTGTGTAAGCTTTATTACTAATTAAAGAAAAAGTATGTTGTATTTGGATGAGCACATATTTAGAATTCTTCTTAATCATTTGCTGACCGCCCTCAGTAATTTTACTGCGGGTGGGCGGCTCGTACAAGCACCATTCCATACCTGTTCATCAGCACCTTCTTCCAGGTTCAGGACGCAAGCATGCAAGCATGCACTGTGTCCGATCACAGTGGGAGTCACATGGGGTGCTGGGTGGGTGTGCCCATGCACCCTGAACCCAAACAAAGGTGCTGACGTACAGGTGCGCACATGCGCTCACCCATCACCACCAACACTGTCCACAACTCCCGCAGTGATTGGACACAACAATATTTTGTCAGAAGGTTTCAGCCAATTATTCATGAGACCAGCTGATCAGCTGTGTCCAATCACAACCCAGAGCCCTATACTGATAAACACACAGGGCTCTGTACAGATCACTGTATTAGCTCTGGTTCACATATGTGCGTTCCTGTGGTAAGCGTTTTGCACGGGCACGAGAGCCCATTCATGTGAATAGACTCCTGCGCCCCGGGACACGAAGGGAAGAGGTCCCTGCAATTCTTTGGAAACCGCAGCCTGCACGGGAAACTCGGTTCCCAGTGCGGTTGTGATTTCCAGTGCGGGCGGTGTGCCATTAGAATTAATGGCACCCACCCACGGTCCGCATTCTTCTGTGTGGGTGGTGCGGCTTCACGGATTTTCTTGTGGATCCGCAGCAGCATCACTCGCACATATGTGAACCTCGCCTTAGTGTCCCTAGTGATGTCAGTGTCAGTTAGTCTACCTCCCACCCAGTTTTCAGCTATTGTTACACAGCTCTATCACAGTCATATTATAAGCTGCTGATCACCCCCGTTACTAGTAAAATAAATACATAAATGAATAAAAATTCAAGTATATATACCATAGTTTGTAGACGCTATAACTTTCACACAAACCAATCAATATATATTATTGAGCTTTTTTTTCTTTTTTTACCAAAGACATGTAGCAAAATACATTTTGACCTAAATTTATGAATTTTTTTTATTAGATATGATTTATACCAGAAAGTATTTTTTTTACAAAATTTTCTGTCTGTTTTCATACAGTCATGGCCAAAAATATTGGCAATCCTGAATTTCTGCCAGATAATGCACCACTTCGCCCAGAAAACTGTTGTATTGTTATGACACAAAAAAGTGGAGAAATAAAAAGCCATATCTGACACATTCCACGCAAAACCCCAAAAATGGACTGGACAAAATTATTGGCACCCTCAATTTAATATTTGGTAGCACACCCCTTGGAAAAAATAACTGAAATCAATTGCTTCCTGTAACCATCAAAGAGTTCCTTACGCCTCTTTACTGGAATTTCGGACCACTCTTCTTTTGTCAACAGCTCCAGGTCTCTCAGCCTGGAAGAGTTCATTTTCCCTACTGCGGTTTCGAGATCTCTCCACAGGTCCTCTATGGGATTGAGATCTGGACTTATTACTGTCCAGTTCAGTACTCTCCAGCGTTTTGTGTTAAACCATTTCTGGGGGCTTTTTGATTTGTGCTTTGTGTCATTGTCCTGCTGTAAGACCCATGACCTCTGACAGAGACCCAACTTTCTGATGCTGGGCCCTACATTGCACCCCAGAATTCTTTGGTAGTCTTCCGATTTCATAATGCCATGCACACTGTCAATACATCCAGTGTCTGAGGCAGCAATGCAACACAATGTTTGACTGTAGGGACTGTATTCTTTTCTTTAAAGGCCTCGTTGCTTTTTCTGAAAACAGTAGAATGATGGTCTTACCAAAAAGCTGTAATTTTATTTTGTCTGTCTGTCATTCTCCCAAAAGGATTTTGGGTTACTCGGGTAAGTTTTGGCAAACTCCAATCTGGCTTTTTTATGTTTCTGTTTCAGAAGTGGGGTCCTCCTGGGTCTCTTACCATAGCGTCCCTTTTCATTCAGATGGTGAAGTATAGTGCGAGCTGACACAGTTGTACCCTGTGCCTGAAGGTCAGCTTGAATTTGTCTAGAAGTTGATCGAGGTTCTTTATCCACACAATCAAACAATCCTTCATTTGCAGTCTTTGATCAATTTTTATCTTTTGTCAATATCAAGGGAAATTAGCTACAGTGCCATGGGCTTTAAATCTCTCGACAATGGTGCGCACAGTGGACACAGGAACATTACAATCTCTGGAGATGGACTTTTAAGCTTGAGATTGTTGATGCTTTTCCACAATTTTTGCTCTCAGACAATTCTTTGGTACTGTTCTCCATGCTCCATGTGGCACACAGCGACACACAGCAGAAAAGTTGAGTTGATTTTTTCACCATTTTAATTGGTTGGCGGTGTGATTTCTATGTTGTCAGCACCTGTTAATTGATACAAGTGAGTTTAATTACAAATGACAGGAGCATCACAAACTTAGAATGCAATTCTTTCTTATAATTTTGAGAAGGTGCCAATCATTTTATCCAGTCCATTTTTGGGGTTGGAATGTGTCAGATTTGGATTTTTGTTGAGAATGCCTAAGCATTTGTAATTGCAACAATTTTCTGGAAGAAGTGGTGCATTATCTGACAGAAATGCAGGAGTGCCAATATTTTTGGCCATGACTGTATGATAAAAAATAAAAACACGAGTGGTGATTAAATACCTCCAAAAGAAAGCTCTATCTGTGTGTATATAAAATTAATTTGGGTACAGTGTTGCATGACCACACAATTACCAGTTAAATTAGTGCAGTGCTGAATAGCAAAAAATGCCCTAGTCATTAAAGGAGTAAAACCTTTCAGAGCTCAAGTTGTTAAAATACATCTGTGCTTTAGCCATTAGGATCAAACAACAGACTGGCTTTATGCAGAGTTTCCCAGCAGCACATACTTATTTAATTATTACAGGTACTTATATATTGAAAAGGGGCAGTAGATCAGAATTATTATGTAAACCTACAAAGCAAGAAGTATAAAATAAGTAATTGGCAAATATGACTGCCCCCATGTATTTCTGGAGTTAAAAAATCTGCATAGAAACATGGTTTTATAAAAGTACTAACAAACATTTATACCAGGGGTATTTCATTAAATTCACAGAGGTCCAATCAAAACAGCGGAGGTCCAAATCGCATGTTTGTGCAATGAATCCTTCACATCACAGCCCTCCTTCCTCTTGTATCACAATCTCGTTTGTACATTAGTGTCCCCAGTTGCCCCTGCATATCACAATCCCCCTTTTCTATCACAATCCCCAATTTCACATCAGTTTTCCCTTCACAAGAGAAGACATTATGAAGTGCTTTTCAAATGATATTCATTAAAGTCATCAAATGTACTGAGAATTTTCATGTGAGCAATTTTTAGGCAGCTTAACCACTTGCCTACCAGGCACTTATACCCCCTTCCTTACCAGGCCAATTTTCAGCTTTCAGCGCTGCCGCACTTTGATTGACAATTGCGCGGTCATGCAACATTGTACCCATATGAAATTTTGATAATTTTTTTCTCACAAATAGAGCTTTCTTTTGGTGGTATTTAATCGCCACTGGGCGCTTTACTTTTTGCGCTATAAATTAAAAAATGTGCAAAAAATTTGAAAAAAAAAAGTTTATTTGTTTTCTTTTATAAAATTTTTCAAACAGGTATTTTTTCTCCTTCACTGATTTGCGTTGATGAGGCGGCACTGATGGGCACTGATAGGCGGCACTGATGGGCACTGATAGGCAGCACTAAAGGGCACTGATAGGCAGTACTAATGAGGTGGCACGGATAGGCGGCACTGATAGACAGCACTAATTAGGGGTCACGGATAGGCGGCACTGATATGCAGCACTGATAGGCGGCACTGATAGGTGACACTGATGATGGGTACTGATAGACGGCACTGACTGGCATCACTTCTGGGCACTGACTGGCGGCACTGACTGGCACAACCCCTGGGCACTGACTGGTGGCACTGACTGGCAGCACTGCTGGGCTGCACTGGTGGGTGGCACTGGTGGGCAGCACTGGTGGGTGGGCACAGGTGGGTGGCACTGGTGGGTGGGCACAGGTGGGTGGCACTGCTGGGCACATGTAGGTGGCACTTCTGGGCACAGGTAGGTGGCACTGCAGAGTGGCACAGGTGGGGGCACTGCTGGGCACAGGTGGGGGCACTGCTGGGCACAGGTGGGGGCACTGCTGGGAACGGGTGGGCGGGGCTAGTGGGCGCACTGCTGGGCGGAACTTGCGGGTGTCACTGCTGGGCACCGATCATCAGGGCACTGACCATCAGTGCCCTGATGATCGGTGCCGATCCCCGCTCTGACAACTGCCGGTTCTCGGCAGTACTTTCCTCACGATCTGACAGCGTGAGGAAAGTGCAGCCGAGAACCTGCACTTGCATTTCCCTGTGATCAGCGTGTCATTGGACACCGCTGATCACGTGGTAAAAGGCCGGTGGGATCGGCCTTTCACCACATCACGTGATCAGCTGTGTCCGTAGGACACAGCGATCACGGAGATCGCCGGGTGCGCGCCCCCTGGGGCGCGCAGGAGAGCGCGTTCTGGGAGGACGTCATATGACGTCCACTCAGAACTGGCCGGCCGCGGTGAAGCCGTCATTCGGCTATGCGCGGTCGGCAAGAAGTTAAGGTTTAATGACGTGAAGTCATCAACCAACCGTGTTGTGGTTATGTTATCATAAGCATTTTGAAACAGGTAGCAGGTCAGGTATACAGTAAAGCATCATGGTTAAAGGAAACCAAGCTTAAAATATAAACTGAACCCTCCTATTCTTTTCAGCAAAGGAAGCTGCCATCTTAGCCTCTGTTTGATCTGCCATGGTGCAGCAAATGTGATAATTTGTGACTTCAGCCGATTTGGTTAAGAGCACAAGCAAATGTGACAGCTAGCAATGCAAAAAATTTAACTGTTTTGGTTTTTTTTTAACCATTAAATCAATGGGTTTAGTTCTTCTTTAAACAGAGGTGGGAAACTAACAATGAGAAAGATTTTGACTCCAAGTTTCGGCAAGTTCCAGACCATATGACGTTCCAATTATTAAAGTGGTCAGAATTAAAGATGGGTGAACAGGCAGGAATTTTAATGCAGAAGAGACATGCTTTGTCTCTTCTACATTAACGTTACTTACCTGCCTGTCTGTCCTTGTACAGTGAGCCGAGCATGTGCAGCTCACTGTACAAATCCGGGAATGCTGAATCTAACTAAACTCCTATGCATGCACGGGAGTGATGCCATACCCGCCCGGCAATGACAGCAGCCGGCTACCCGGGTACCAGTCTCCCAATGTCTGGGCAGGGAGCTTGAGGTTGCCGCATCGCTGTAGCCAAGGTGAGTATAGTTCTGCTTTAAGGACTATGAATTTTACAGGGAAGAAAGGCTATTAAAAAAAGAAAAATTAACAGTTATTTTACAAATTTGATGCAATACCACACTATTGCTTTTCAGATATAAAGAATTAACAATTTGGACAAGGAAGCAAAAATTGCAGTTCTTTAAACAGAGAGCTCCAACTTGATATGACTGAAGGACTCATTTTTGAAAAGAAGAAATTCTTTAAAAAAAGATAAAGAGTGTTTTTAACCTTGAAGGCCACCTAACAATAAAGATGATTTTTGTATAGAAAAAAAAATTCTTTCTACTTTGTGAATATTCAGAGAATCTGTAAATCATAAAGCTTGCACAAAATAGAATCAGGAGATGTTTCTTCTACATGTTCAAACATGTCAACAACTTAGCATGAAAAGAAATAATGACATGCTTTTGCTTTATATTACTATACACCATGGTGTGTTAATAATTTGTTATTTGTATATAATAATAACTCCCTTTTTACTTCATTACTATGGTGCAGCAACTTCCAACCTTGAATTTTGTTAAAGATGACTGCAAGCAAAGAGACCTTTTTGACCCATGTAACAGGCAGGATGACAAAGAAAAGAGACTTTTTCACAGAATACATAGCTTGTTATCTTTTGAGTATCAGGGAAAGATAAAACTCTTGCAAGCCACTGTAGGCCACAGCTACAGCTCATTGTGTTATAAGGTATTGAACTTGTAAACTTGGTTTTCTCTGCCTCAATGCCTTAAAGGGTAACAGCATTAAAAATATAGCAATAAAAAAATCAGCATATGCAATTGCTACACAAGCCACATTGTAATTGAATGTTATTAAAATTATTTTTCCTTTTTGATCTGCACTGTAATATTTTGTAAAGCTCAATGCAATAAGTCTACCTGGAGGCATTCTGTACATGGCTGGTGTACAGTTCTTCCCCACAAATTTAATTTCCTGCTTGTGTGATTGACTTATTGATTTTCCTAGAAGTCTGCACTAAGATACAACTTAGATTTTAGGCATCCCCTGCAAATTTTAGTTTGGGTGAGATACTCCCCAAGGGCTAAATACTTCTAAAGGGATGCTGACACTGCAAGGTGTCATCAGAACATGAAGAATGCACCAATTGATTGTAATAAACCAGTCACTCCCATTCAGAATCCGTATCTAAAGAACATGGTGGAACAAATATCTTTTTCTTCGCAGCAGAAACAAAGTAGGACCCTACAAGTTTGTTAAAATCCTTGCAATGTACATTGATCACCCAGAGGGTAATGTTTTTCTTGACAAAAGTGGAGTCATCCTTTAAAACTAATCTCAACTCAGCAATAAAAAAATGTGTAAATTGTGACTCCCCCTTCCCCACTGCACAGCAGAAGTTCAATGCTTGTTGAGTCTAAGGGGTAAGAAGTAAGCAGAAATACTTACTTTGCTCTTTGTTCCACCCCCCAGAATGTACATGGGCTCTCAACACCCTAATGTACATGTCATGCATTATACATGTTGATGCTGGAGAAGCTATGACTGTGGGATTGATTGTACAGTGGGAGGAAGCCTGTGAGAGTGGGGAATATTATGTCTGCCTATTCCTTATCTCATGACTAAATTAACATTTAACCCTTGCTGTGTTTACTCAGGAGGTGGGGAGTGGATACAATACACCAGTATTTTATTACTAAATAGAGTTCAGTTTTAAAGAATGTGTTTTTTTTTTTTCAGAGCTTACTTTTATCCTTAGGGCTCAGTTACACCACTGCATTGTGATAGAGATACAGCAAGTGTTCACACTGTCCCAAATATGCAGGGAAAGGGTTTTCATTATAATCGATGAAGCTCTTGTCGTTAGTGTTGCATTAAGGTGAAGTGTGGTGTGCTTCTGAAAATTCTGCTTGCTGCATCTTTTCTAAGGTTCTTGAAAAACACACATAACAGAATAATCAATAGCAATGCATTCAAAATGCACTCAAAATGTAATAATGTTTTTATTTTTGGTCCTTTGAGTCACATATTCATGACTTCATAGGGTTTGCAGAAATAAAATTGGGAAAAGGGAGAAAAATGCATGTAAAACATGTATAGTATGAAGATCGTATTGCATTAAAGTGATACTAAAGTCTAATTTAAAAATAGAAATAAAGAAGAGGTCATGCGTACCTGCTCTGTGCAGTGATCTTGCACAGACAGCACCATCTTCTGGCAGTCCCCATCCAGAAATGTCACCTCTCCTTCTCCAGGTGCCTCCTTAACAAGCCGGGTGCTAAGGAGCCACTCATGCTTGTGCTCTCCTGAGCATCCATAGACACACACAGTGCTGGTAAGCCACACACCCCCACTCCTCACATAGGTTTGACTGACAGCAGCAGGAACCTATAAATCTGCTGTCCACAGTTTCTCCTGTGAAAGCAGGAAGTGAGGGGAACTGGGCTGGAACCAGAGACAGTGCTGGAGCAGTGACAGGAGCTGGTAAATTTTAACCACTTCCTGCCCGGCCAATAAATATAAACGGCCGGAGGGGAGCAGTGCACGGCGCTCACCATTTTAGCCTGTGCGCACTCCCTGGGAGTGCGCGGCACCACGATCCGGTGCCCGCTGTGTCCTCCAGACACCGATCGCTGTACGGGACCTCTGTGTGAGGTCCCAATCATGTTGGCCAATCAGTGATCACATGAATAGTAGTAAACAAGATGTCACTTCTAACATCATTGCTTACTACGTGTGAAAATCTGTGAATGATCACAGAGATCACATGATACAAGGCTATTCACAACAGCCTTGTACCATGTGACAAGCTGTAACCAGTCACAGCTCTCACGTATTTCTCAATGGCTGCAAGAATGCAGCCAGAGAGAAAGAGAAATGGTTGCTTTTACAGCCTTTATCCGTGTAAAAGCAATTAGTGTAAAAAAAAAAAAAAAAAAAAAAAAAACGTCATCACCCCCCAGAAGTAGTACAGTGTCACTATGGTGATACTGTATTGCTAGGGTGACAGTATGTAAAAAAAAAAACCCCATAAATAATAATATAAAAACAAATTAAAAATGTAAAAAAAATTTTGAAAATGTACAATTTTTGGTTATAAACTAATTTGGGTTATTTTTTTTTACTAAAAAGATAACTGAATAAATTTTGGCCAAAATTTATGAAAAAAAAATTATTTATTTGCAAAATTATATAAGAAAAACTTTTTTTCAAAATGTTTTTGCTTTTTCATTTATATAGCAAAAAAATAAAAATCCCAGTGGTGAATAAATACCACCAAAATAAAGTTTTATCTGTTTCAAAAAGAATGCTAAAAAATTCATATGGATACAGTGTTGCATGACCGTGCAATTGTCATTCAAAGTGTGACAGCGCTGACAGCTGAAAATTGGCCTGGACAGGAAGAGGGTAAAAGTGTCCGCACTTGAAATGGTTAAGGAATAGAGGGAGCTAGGAAAGATAGTAGGGTGTTTTTTACCTTGCAAAGAATAGATTAAGATAAACATTAAATTTAGACTTTAGAACCACTTTAAATTTAACTGCAATGCATTGAAAATGCACACATCATAACATAACACAAATGAGTTTTTGCTTAGAGTTCACACTACACTCCATTCCGGTGCATTTTTTATGTGGTTTGCTTTGTTCCTGTCCAGTTCTTTACAGAAAAAAGCAGTATGTTCTACGTTTTCTCTGCACTGGAATGCACTGGAACAGACTGCATTGGTGTGAACTAGGGTCATTGGAACACATGGAAAACACTATGCCTGCATTTTTTGGGCAGCACTGGCATCTGGAGTGAACCACCCTTAAAAATCTGTTACAAAAGGTACCTGTATTGCTGACAAACAGGAGTTTCAGACACATTCACCAGTAGCCTGGAAGCAGTGTATTTACATCATTTCTTCCTGCAAAGGGCACTAAAAGAAAGATGAGCTAGACAGGCCATTTAGTCCAATGCAAAAGTAACTTTTTTAGTAGCAAAACCATTTGGGAAAAAAATGTGCAAACACAAGATTGTTATTTCTTTCCAAACAGTAACAACATCACGGTAATTGTTCTTGCCTTCCTTTTTCTCCTTTTTTACTAGCAGAAGACATTTACTCATTGGAGACTTTCAGTCTTAATCAGTAAAAGCAGAGTCTTTTCTAAATATCAATATTGCTTCACTAAAAAAAGAAAGCTTTCTCCCTGCAAGGTAAAAGCATTATGAAAGGCTTACTTTGAAACAAAGCCATCCGTGCTGTCACCGCTGCAAAGTAGCATTGCCACCTCATCCCTCTAAAAACGAACGCATATTAATTACATAGGTTCTGAGGCTAAGTTAATGCACTCAAGGCACTAAGTAAGTTTAATTGCCACCTTAGTTAGCCACAGAACCTGTGTATTTAATATGTGTTTGGTTTTAAAGGGATGAGGTGGTAACCCTACTGCAGAGGCATCCATCCAGGACCAGAGGCCATAGGGCACACCAGGCATTTGCCCGGAGGGCTGGGGCCGCCGGACCGCATGGCCTAAGAAGAACGGCCTGTTGAATACTAGATAGTGTTAACACAGACCTCAGCTGCCGCTCACCTCTCACTGTGCGGCTATGCATAAAGAAGGGCCGACAGGGGGAGCTCCAACTACAAACAGGAAGTACCTGCAGGGAATACACACCTGTAGGGCCTGCCGCTGCAGATACAGTGAAGGAACATTGCAGCCTCTCTTCTTCATCGCCCGGCACATTGTGACAGCCAACAGTCCTGCTCTGTAGCATCAGTGCGGGGGTGGGTTGGGCGGTCTCTTTGCTGGATGGGATGTCTCTTTGCTGGATGGGATGTCTTTTTGCTGGATTGGAATGTCTCTTTGCTGGATATGATGTCTCTTTGCTGGATGGGATGTCTCTTTGCTATATGGGGAATTCTCCTTGCTATATGGGTGTCTCTTTGCTGGGTGGGATGTCTCTTTGCTGAATGGGATATCTCCTTGCTGGATTGGACTGTCTCTTTGCTGGATGGGATGTCTCTTTGCTGGATGGGATGTCTCTTTGCTAGATTGGGCTGTCTCTTTGTTGGATGGGATGTCTCTTTGTTGGATGGGATGTCTCTTTGCTGGATTTTGATTCTCTTTGCTATATGGGGATGTTTCTTTGCTGGATGGGATATCTCTTTGCTGGACTGGATGTTTATTTTCTGGATGGGATGTCTCTTTGCTGGATTGAGCTGTCTCTTTGCTATATGCGTATTCCTCTTTTCTGGACAGGATGTCTCTTTGCTAGATTGGGATGTCGCTTTGTTGGATGGAATGTCTCTTTGCTAATGGGAATGTATCTTTGCTAGATTGGGCTGTCTGTTTACTGGATTTGACTGTTTCTTTGCTGGATGGGGATGTCTCTTTGCTGGGCGGGATGTCTCTTTGCTGGAGTGGGCTGTCTCTTGTCTAATGGGGATGTATCTTTGTTAGATTGGGTTGTCTGTTTACTGGATTTGGCTGTTTCTTTTTTGGATGGGGATGTCTCTTTGTTGGATTGGGATGTCTCATTGCAGGATTTGGCCATCTCTTTGCTGAATATATAGGGGTTGTGATTAGATTAGACTGTGATTAGAGGAAAAAGGGGCATGACTGCAAGGGTCACTGTGATGGGGGGCTGTGATTTCTAGGGGCATTGTAATGTAAAGGGACACTGTGATATAAAGGGGACTGCACTGTAAAGGGGCACTGTAATCAATACAGTGCCCCTTTACAGTGCAGTCCTCTTTATATCACAGTGCCCCTTTAAATTACAGTGTGGAGGACTGACTTTATGAATATTTCATCACCAACCGCCCCTGCGAATGATGGCTATAGCATGGTTGTGCAATCCTGGGAGGGCATCATATGATGTCCTCCCAGAACACGCCGTCCCACACAACCCCAGCCAATCACAGCAGCCTTTTACCTTGTGATCAGATGTGTCTAATGGCATGGTAAATACAGTTGCCGGTTATGGGCTGCACTTTCCTCATGCTGTCACAGCGTGAGGAAAGTACTGCCGATAACCAGCAATTGTCAGAGAACAGATCGGTACTGATCATCATTGCCCTGATGATCAGCGCCCAGCAGTGCCACCCACCTGTGCCCATCAGTGCTCTGCAGTGCTGCCAAGCAGTGCCACCAACCTGTGCCCATCAGTGCCCAGCAGTGCCACCAACCTGTGCCCAGCAGTGCCTAGCAGTGTCACCGACCTGTGCCCATCAGTGCCACCCACCAGTGCACAGCAGTGCCCCCATCAAGGCCACCCATCAGTGCTGCCCAGCAATGCTGCCCATTGGTGCCCAGCAGTGCTGTCAGTCAGTGCCACCCTTCAGTGCTGTTCATCAGTGCCACCTATCAGTGCCCATCAGTGCAGCATTGTCAGTGCTGCCTCATCAGTGCCAGCTCATCAGTGCCGCCTATCAGTGCCCATCAGTGCCCATCAGTGCTGCCTATCTGCACCACCTCATCAGTGCCCATCAGTGCTGCCTATCAGTGCCCATCAGTGCTGCCTATCAGTGCAGACTCATCAATCAGTGAAGGAGAAAATGTACCTGTTTGCAAAATGTTATAATAAAACCAAAGAAAAACTTTTTTTTTGCTATTTTTTTGTTTATAGAAGAAGAAATAAAACACCCAGCAGTGATTAAATACCACCAAAAGAAAACTCTATTTGTGTGAAAAAAAAAGCTAAAAATGTCATATGGGTACAATGTTGCATGACTGCACAATTGTCATTCAAAGTCAAACAGTGATAAAAACTGAAAATTGGCCTGGACACGAAGGTGGTATAAGTGCCTGATAGGCAAGTGGTCCAACTCCACGTTAAAAAAAAAACACAGCCAGTGGCCCACAGTCATAGTGTTTAAAAATAAAAAAGCAGCACTAGCTGCAATGCTCATCTCCATACCAGTGCTGTCCCTCAAACACTTACCACTCCCTAATACAGGGATGCTTATCTGCTGTTGTGGACATGAGGCAAGTCATCACATAAAACTGGGCTCACATACTCCAAGAAGTATGTGAGCACTATTCTTTTTAAGAGGATGGACTGCCCAGGGTAGAAATGAAAGGGCCCATGACATCACTGGCACTGGCATCACATGGCACCATCTGTTTCTTGTATGGTTCCTGGAGATGAGATTACAAAAGAGGAAAACAATTGGAGATCTAGAGGCGGTTCTTGCTTTGACATATAGGAACGGAGACAACTACTGCCCCAAGATTAATTAAACATAATATATCCACTTGTAACCCATGGGTCTAACTATCTGGTGAGTTCCCTTCACAAGTATGGTTGAAGTACAACACAGGGAAAGAGTGTTGTGGAGCACTTTGTTTATAGATTGAAACACTTTGATACATTTTGGAAAATTGGAGAGCACTTTGATACAAGCTGAAGTACTTTGACATTAATTGGATTGTTGTACAGCACTTTGATACAAACTGGACATTATTGTGGATCTATGGTAAATATTTTACGTTTCACTGATTGAATGCACCAATCACTCTACTATCACAGGAGATAATGTTTAGGAGATATATGATTTGGAAAAGCACTGATTATTGTAGAGACAAAGATAATTATTTGTTATAGGGAGCAATTATACCATTGTACTCACTTTTTTAATGGTACCAGTGTGCATTTGCAGTTATCCAAATCTTGAGCTATAAAGGAGTCCAGCCTTACCTCTCAAAGATTACTTGATTTTTTTATTATTTACTTGTACATTTTTCTTGTCAATTCAGAATTCAGAATGTCAAGATAAGTTTCAAACTGTAAGGCTGTCCTTTCTTTTGCCTGGGCTCAGTGTTGATAGCAGACCCTCATAAGACTGTCATATACCAACATTGCTGTTAGGGTTAGAGGGAGAGAATACAACTATATAGTTACACATAGCTATATATCTGAAGAGTAAGCCTGCACTATTATAACTGAAGGGGGCTATACCTATGCTTACAAATGCCCATCCTTCTGCCATGTTTTTTTAATGAGAGTTTTATGGTGTTAAAATCATAGTAAGTTTTTAAACACTTTCAGCAGCGGGATTCAACCACTTACTGAGTATGCAGCCTCTGTATCTTTGAATCCTTGTCTATGTTCCAGTTTAAAGATAAATTCCAGCCTAAATCTAACTATACTTAACCCCTTTTGCGTCGGCACCTCCTGGCCCTTTAAGAGGTTTCAGAAGGCGGGAGGCAGGGCGGGGTCCCCAATGTCAGTGAACGGCGGCTGCAGGGAAGAGGAGAGATCTCTTGACAATGTCTGGAAATTCTAAGAGCTGTGACATCACCCATAGTTTTCCATGTCCCAGCCATTGCGGGTGCTCCCACCTCTCCCCTGCAGCTGCCACTCACTGACATAGGGAGTGAGTGCTGTGATATCACAATGATGCAATAGGTAGCGGGAGGGATGGAAGGAACATCCTTAATCAAAGTTAATTTTAGGCTAGAATTCTACATTACGCTGGTGCCATGCCCCAGGTTTCCTTTTTCAGGGTAGCTTCTTTGTCTTGCAGCATGCTATGAAGCTATCCCTGCATGCGGGAACTTGAGCTGTAGCTGATACACACAAAATTAGTAAAACAAAAAACAGAAAAATACTGACCCAAATATCAGTTCATAAAGAATGACTTAAGTGTGGATGCTAGAATCATTGATTGGGTTTCCTCAAGATAAATCAAGGAATAATAAACTCTAAATATATAATAGGCAGCACTACAAACAGCTATCAATTCAAATTTCATGTATTTACTGTATGAAAGGAAGCATCATATAAAGACATACCAATAAATTGTAGTACATGTGGGGAGATCTTGTGCATGCACTACAATTTATTGTCGGTCTTTATATGATGCTTTCTTTCATAAATACAAAACATTTGAAAAGCTAGCTGCTTGGAGTGCGGCCTATTATTTATTTAAACTAGAAATGTATCTCCCTACACTGTGTATATTAATAGATACACACAGCCCTGTAGGCTAGACCCTCCCCTGCTCCTCCCTCCTGCCCCTCTTCCCTTCTTCACTAACTAACAAAATGACTGGAGATTGCACTTTCCACTGTTAAAGTGGTTGTAATGGCAGATGGTTTTTTAACTTCATGCATTTTATGCATGAAGGTAAAAAAAACTTTCTGTGTTCTGCTCCTCCCACAGCCCCCCTCTCGATTCAGCAATGTGCATGAGAGCCTTGACTGTCCCGGGACTCCCACTCCTCATTGGCTGAAATACAGCCACTCACAGCCAGTGAGCCAATGAGGAGAGAGCAGAGCGGGGAGGGGCCGAGCCCCGGCTCTATGTGTTTTATGGATTTATAGAGCTGGACTTGAAAGAAAGCACATACCAGTGTCCCCATAGCAAGAAGTTCTCTACTGGGGGCATTGGTCAAGGGGGAGGAGACAGGAGCATCGGTGGGGGACCTGAGAAGAAAAGGATTGGGTGCTTCTCTGTGCAAAACCACTACACAGAGCAGGTATATATGACAAGTTTGTTCGTTTTTAAAGCCGAACCTTTAATACCACTTTAATTCTTCCCTGCAAAGACTGAATGTTCTGGGAAGCAGCACTGAGAGAGCAGTAATTAGCAGCATTGAAAGTTGTAAGCTGCAAGTCCTGAGGTAAGAATTTTAACAAATTGTTTACTAGGGAATGTTTATTATATTATGCTCATTGAGGGGTTATTACATCTTTAAATTCATAGAAGCAATATGTTTCAACGAGTCTGGGATACTGTAGACTTTAGTAATGTGGGCTTCTGTCTGTAATGCATTCATAAATCATACTACTTTGTACAGCAATAATTTAACATATTCAAATGAAGCCAATTAGTGTTAAAAATCTCCAACCTGCACATTGGCTCTTTGTGAATATGTGACAAATTGATTGATTAAAGGTGTGTGGAAGATGAACAAAAAGGCCAGAAAAATTGGTTAGATTTTTCCTAGCAGAGCAGCATGGTAGAAAAGACATCCATCCTCCTAGGACACTAGCAGAAAACTGAGGCATGCTTGTATTAGAAGGGGTTATTCTGGGATGGCCCACATTTTTTTGTTTGCCAGTGTCCAGTTCTCTGTAGGTGGCAGTATAACCCAAAAGTATATGGCTTCCTATGTCCTTCAATGGAAGAGAAAAATACATTTATTATATCCAGTGTCACACACGTGCTGAGTTGTTGTGAAGCTTTGTGTGCTGCAAGTTTTTAGTTTTTATGCAAAAGGTAACATTTATGATAAAAGCATAGTGAAGCATGAACTGGAATTCTTACCAACTGGAGGAAGGAGCAATTTTTCCTACACTTACCTCATATGTATATTGTGTAAGTCAGTAATTTACATTCACCTCATCTGCCTGTATACAAGAGGGTGGAGTACCATTGAAAGGAGAATGAAGATTTTCAGCTCTACAACTATGCTACTTTTATGAAATGTCATTGCCAAATCAAATGTATTCACAATGTTAGCTTCATGGTCTCCTATCACCCTCAAAACTGAATGTAACCCTTGCAATTGTTTTAATTTCAGAAAACATAGAATAAAGTATACCTATACATTACCCTTGTAGAGTAAATCAACAAAGTTTAATGTCACAAACGTGCGCCTCAGAGATGGACGTGGTTCAACCATTTTGTTAGGCATCTCCATTTTCTCCCCTCATCTTTCCACCCCTCCCTCTCACTGAGAGGAGACATCTGGCCAGTGTGTGTATGTGTACTGTTTATGGGTCAAGGCAGATGAACACTTCTCAAATCAATTTCTCCCCTATGTCTCATATCTTGGAATATGAGAGACTTACATAAAAAACGGACACCTCGTCAGATGGGCAATGAGAAGGCAAATAGTTTGACGGGTCACTCGCTTATCTCGGACCATCAGGGGAGCCGAAACATAGAAGTCGTCAACCGTGCAATATATAATTTCATAATTCATATCTAAATAATCCTCAGACTTGTCTGCATAATAATATAACCGCGGGTGGACTGTCGCTTGTGCAGATGGAAAGTTATAGACCAGAATATGAATTAGGAAAGATGTTGGTTCCAGTTTATGGTTCTGCCTGATGATCCTTCCCTAAACAGGGGATTGGTCTTTCACTTCAGAACCACCCCCTGCTGGGAAACTTTAAAACAGGCTGCCAAGCCTAAGGAA